TTCGGGTTCTCAAATTGTCTTTGGAAGGTTAAAAATAAACCAGGCATTTTCAATCCACATGCTTAAAAAAACCAAAGAGAGGCACTTTTAAAAGCTCTATTTTTAAAGGCTTTAATTTATAAAAAAAAGAGTGTTTTGCTTCCAGCTTCCTGCCTGGCACACATCTGGAAAGCATCACATGTCCAGAGATAGCAGCTGAAAACAGAGAAGGGGATTGGAGGCAAAGCACCTGCTTGTCTAAGCCTCTGTCTTTAAGGATTCCTAGTATAGATCCATTGCGAGGCTCCAGAGGTCCAAATGTCAAGGCTCTAGATGTGTCAAAAGAATGCCTCTTGCCTCTGGAGCTTCGATGAGGAGGCAGCTACAACCCAGGGCATCCTTAGATTTGTACCTTCAAAGCCAATAGTTAGCTGGCGGCTTGTTGGCCTTTTATAGTGGCATGACTGGGTTGTCAAAGAAAGTGATGAACGTTATCCATTTGGCGCCAGAAAGACTGTGGTTACATAACAAAGGTCGTGGCTAGAGAGAGGTTAGTCTGTCTTGATTAAAAGCCACTTTGCAGGCAGGGGTCAACCTTTTGGCTACTGAATGCAATGCTTTTCTTTCTCTAATCCCAAGAGGAAACTCATTTTGCAGCCACCTAGAAGGTGAGGTATTTCTTTTAGGCAGAAAGAATAAGATGATGAGAGCAAATATTTGAATGCAGCAAGTCTTTCCTGGATCCCTAGATAATAGTGCCTTCTCTTCTAGTCAGTGAACATTTAATGTGTCTTATTATGTGCCAGGCACTGTGCTAATCACTGAGGTTACAAAAAGAAGCAAAAGACAATTCCTACCCTCCAGAATCTGACAATCTAATAAGGGAGACAAGGAAACAGTTATATACAAACAAACCATACACAGGAGAAATAGGCAATAACTAAAAGAGGAGAGGCACTAGAATTAAGAAGGGGTAAAAAAAGCTTCCTGTAGAAGGTGGGATTTTAGCTGGGACTTGAAAGAAGCCAGGGAAGCCAAGAGCCAGAGATGAGGAAGGAGCATTCCAGGAGCATTCCAGGATGACAGCAGGAGAAAATGCCCTGCAGTGTATTGCTGATGAACAAGAAGGTCAGTGTGACTGGATTAAGAGTGCCTGTGAGGAAGTAACATGTAAGAAGACTAGAAAGGCAGGAAGGAGATAGGTTATGAACATCTTTGAACTCCAAGCAGAGGATTTTATATTTGATCCTGGAGATTACATATAACATCTATCTTCCACCTAATCTACTGTGTATGTATCTTGTATGTATTGCTTTATGTATGTAGTGTCTCCCCCCATTAGAATGTAAGCACCTCGAGGGCAGTAACTGGTGTTGGGTTTTTTTTACTCCCCAGCATTTAACATAGCACTTTGCACATAGTTATTTTGTTGCTTGATTGATTGAAAGAATGAATGCCAACAATGAAGGAAGATAAGAGTCCCCAATCATTTAGGCATTGAGGTGGTGCATGGGCAGCTAGGTGGTGCCAGGCCTGGAGTCAGGAAGACCTAAATTCAAGTCTGGCATTAGATACTTACTAGCTGTGTGACCCTGAGCAAGTCACTTACCCCTGTTTACCTCAGTTTCTCATCTGCAAAATGAGCTGGAGAAAGAAATGGCAAACCACTCCAGTGTCTTTGCCAAGAAAACCCCAAAGGGGGTCATGAAGACTGAGACATGACTGAAATGACTGATCAGAACAACAAAGGTGGCACAGAGAGCATTGGCAGGAAGACCTGAGTTCACATCCTCTCTCAGATACTTACTAATTGTGTGATCCTGGACAAATTACTTAACCTCACCCAGCCTCAGTTTCCCCACATGTTAAATGATGATAACAACACCTAGTTCACAGGGTTATGGTGAGGATCAAATGAGACATATATATATATAAAGTATTTTACAAACCTTAAAGCAGCTTTATAAATACTATTAATAGTAATGTTGTTCAGCCGTTTCAGTTGTGTCCGATTCTGTGACCCCATTTTGGGATTTTCTTGGCAAAGATACTGGAGGCCTTTGCCATTGCCTTCTCCAGCTCATTTTACAGTTGAGGAAACTGAGGCAACAGAGTTACGTGACTTGTCCAGGCTCACACACCTAGTATGCGTCTGAGGCCACAGTTGAACTCGTGAAGACGAGTCTTTCTCATTCCAAATCCAGTGCTCTATCCACTGAGCCACCCATTAGTAGTAGTAATACTAATTAGTAATAATATTGAGGAGGAATTTCTATGTGTTCTTCATAATGGGCAAGGCAGAGAGGGGGAGTTCTGGTAGGGAAAGCAGTGAATAATGAGTTGAGGTGAATGGAGCCTCGAGATGAAGGCCACACGGTCAATCCCAGCCTCAGAAGGAATTAAGGAAATGCCATCTAAGACTGGACTCAGATATTCTAGAGCTGGGGATCTTTCCCATAACTATGTGTAGCAGAGAAAGGGAGGAAGAATAAGGGTAAGGTATGTCTTATGGAATCACTTTCTTGTATTTCAGAGGGTTGTTGTTTTTTTTAAGAGGCAGTCACTTTCTCCACTCTTATTCTAAGTATGAAGTTCATAGGGCCATCTCCTC